GCAGGACCCTGGCCCGGGCAATCCAGAAAAATCAAAAAGGAACTCTTCTTCTGGCGATACAATAAAAATGGCACCACAAAACTCCAGAAGCCGGCCTGGCCAATCTACCTGCAAACAGGCATAAGGCATGGTGGAGAGGCAGCCTGGCAAACACAGGGAACAAGAAGTGTTTTGGACAGGGCAGTTTTCAGGGCAATTTCATTTTTTAAACGAAAATAAGAAAACCAGCTCAAAGGACTACTGGAGCATTCAGTCATCGTTTACTTAAAATGCTTGAGAGATGCTTCTAGAAAACTCAAAAATAGAAGACCTGTTCAGGCTTCACACCTTTTTTCTATCCTGACAAAGTGAAGGTAGAAAAGCCCCTGGAGATGCGCTGGCCATCCGAGACCACAGCCTGGGGACCAGTCAGGCAGCCAGGCCCTGCTCTGCAAGGTCAGCTGGGGAGCCAAGAAGGGGATCTCCTGTTACTGCTCCTCACTGCTTCAAACACTGTTCAGGATAGTATCTCTAGGCTTTGGCAGGAGATTTGTGCGAGGTTTCGACTCAAATTGATCATTTTGGGGATGGAAGCCCAGCCATCTCCATGAGAGGAACGCAGGAGCACTCACACTGGATTTTCCCCACCAGTTCATGCTTGGGACACGGAGCGACTGCATAAACCGCTGCGCTTCAGCCAGACTCTTCTCAGTAGCACCAGTGAAAGAACAAGAGGCAATGGGCACGAACTGAAACACGGGAAATTCCATCCTAACGTAAGAAAACACTTTTTTACTGTAAGGGTGGTTGGCCACCGGAACAGACTGCCCAAAGAGGTTGCGGAGATACTAAAAATCTCAGTCCTGGGTGACCAGCTGTAGCTCACCAGCTTCGACAGGTTTCGACTGCGGGACCTCCAGCAAGTCTCTTCCACCCTCAGCTATGCCACGATTCTGTAATACAGCGATGCTCTTTACATGATGATTACTCCACGATTTCCCAACTTGCCAACAGCCCTACAGTTTCATGTAGGCCAAGCATCTTGCTCAAGGCCACGCAGTTTAGCAGAGCTGGAAACACACATAAGCAAGCCTGATCCTCAGCCTTTTGCCGAATAAGCAAAAAGCAGCAGTGCTTCACCTTTCCCGTTTCACCCAGAGCGCTCTTACTTGGGGAAGATGAAGCGCACATGGCACGCAAAGCTGCTTTCAGAACCTCCATCCTGTCCGAGCCCATCTCGACCTGCCGCAGGGCGATCCAGCATCATCGCAGAAATTTTGCACTGCTGGCAGTAGAATCTGTTAAGTCAGCAAAAGAAATATTTAAAGGCGATCATAGAACATGATTTAAAACAGTCTTCGGATGTTATATTTTTATTACATAGCTTATAATTGCCATTATAATGATGGAGGCACAGTCTTAAAAGAATAGGAAGTGTGAGACTACATGTTTCTAGATGTAAAGAAATGCAACAGCACTTAATTAACATGCCTCAACAGCATTCATTTCTCCATTCTTCATAGCAAAATTGAATAAAAAAAAAAATCTCAAGTTTAAAACATTTCATTGGAAGTTCTAAGCAAAAAAATAAACATAGTTTTTAATAAATAAAAATGCTTGCTTGCTTCCATGGTGTTTTGTTAGCTTCACATTCTTTTTCATATAAAATTTCAAGTGTCTATTCTTTTAAAAGTTTATTGGTAAGATTCAAAGAGCAATTTTTAAAGCTTCGAGCATACGTACTTTGTTTTTTTAAATAGAGCACAGGTTTTATAAATAGCTAGTTACAGAAAACAATAAAATAGACAAACTAGTAATACAATTTCGTTTGTATATCTGTGTTTCAAAGTGATATTTTAAATTCCTAAATCCCAACTGTCTCCAACAAGGAATAACATATTTACATATTAAAACATTTACATTTGGGAAAACATTTCGCCTGCACATTATTTCACTTGCACTGTACATTCAAACTGAAAAATATTTTGGTTCTTCAACATAAAGCACCTTATATAATATTTTAATCACAAGTTAAACACTCTGTAAGTCATTGTTAAATTCTCTTTACCCCGGTGGGGTGGGGGGGGAGGGTGTTGGACAGACAACCTATTTTCAAAGATCCGGACTCTGAATTTCTTCATCAACTATACATTACTCAAATGCACTGTGTACTAATTCAAGTTCAAAAGACGAGTCCAGACAGATTTTCCCAGAGAGGAAAACTGGATCGAAAGGGACTTCTTGGGTCAGTAAGTCCTGACTGCTGCTTTTGCTGGCATCACTTCATAGAAGCCTCTTTCAGAAACATGACAGCAATTTGCTTTCCACCCATACCCGCTCTAACAGAAGCTGTCTCAGAACCGAATGGCTGTTGGAGTTAAAAAGCTTCATCTCAGTTCAAGCCTAGATTTGTCACAACCACCTTATACCCGTTCGTTCTGGAGCTAACACTGGTCTTCAAGCTTAGTTATTCCCTCTCTCTCGAGTTTGATCCTGACTGTAATTACAAGCTGCTACCCCACTCCCTCTCAGCCAGCACTTTACTGTTCCTTATTCCCCGATAATCATCTCTGCACCTCAGCAAGTACCCTGGTTTTGAAAAGTTGCCTGATTTTGCTGTAACTGGAACAAATGCTGGGTTTCACAGAAAATGGAAAAGCCTAGAAAAACATCTGTATTGGGAAAAAGTTGGTGATAAAGCCAGCATCCCACTGTAAGCATTCAACCTACGGACAATGTGGACAACAGAAGGTCAAAGCCAAAATGCTCTAAAAATATATTTGGAAATAATTTAAGAAATTCTTCATTCTGCTTTATCTACCAATCAGGAATATAAACCTAAATTACTACTCTATTTCCTGCAGTCAGAGCATGATGTCTGTCATTTACATACCGTATATACCATAACCAGGGGCTGGACCAGCACCTGCAGTAGTGAAACTCCCATCCGAAAGCATGCTAGGATCTGCCTTTTCACTGCACGATTAAGACCACCCATCAGCACAATCCAGACAAAAATATGCAGAATAATTCCCTTTCATCTGCAGAATCTCGCCAAGAACAACACCGAGAATGAGCGTGGATAAACGAGACAACTTAAATCTTTGGAAACAGTTTGCGTGGTCGTGAAGCACTGAAACACCATCATAACACGATCAAACAGTTTTTCGGTAACTATCGGCTTTGTAAGAAACAGCTTTGCTGCTGAAAACTGAGAAAAACATCTTATGGAACAGCTTTGCAGTAACGTATCTCAGCATTTCTTAACCCCACAATATATAAATATAGCTACAATCTAATTGAAAAAAAAAAATCTATATTCATGTAGTGATATTAAGAACCTAAATCCTGCAACAGAAATACTTTGTTTCTTAAACTAGCGGCAGCAACAAATGATGTTGTTCTCCTCACTGCAATATAACAAGTATACCGATTTACTAGCAACATATTCCATAGCACAACTCTTCTATTTTCATACACTGGTATTTTTCTGGTAGTTCTCGAATAAAATGCAAAAGTTATTTACTTATGACTTTTTACATAGGCACTCTATGCACTGACATCAGACTTCAAGTTAAAAACGAGAACTTTACACAGATCTCTCTACCGTACTCCAAACTGAATATTTCTCCTCCACAAGCAGAGACTGGAATTACATGTTTACACCATGGGCTGTATTTTGTAATATAATTCAACATTATCGAACCTAGTAATTGCTTTAGATAGCTGTCTCAGCAGAGGACTTAAAGGGCAAGGTTTATTAAGTAACAAACAGGTAGCTAGCTAATGGGCGATGAACACCTTTATTTCTCATTGAGAATATTTTTAATATTAACGATTTAATGACCAAACCCTGCGTTTTAATATTTCAGTTCAGTAACAAATGAGGACTGTCTTAATTCACAAAGTCTGGATCTGAACATCCCCAGCAAAGGAGGTCTGGACCAGCCTACGGAGTGGATTCTGGACCATTCCTGGTATATAGACACTTATCTTTACAAGCAGCTGATGTTAGTGCAGTACCCGACACACAATAAATTCTTTGACGGTGTTAGATATCTGCAAAGACTGAACTGTAAAGATTTTAACGGTAGTCTGCGTGACACCATTCAAACTATTCTGGTTCGTTTAAGGAGTGCTATTAGATACTGGTAGCGAGCACTAACTACATTGCTGCCTTCCTACAAGCTAAACATTTCTGCTAATACCACATCACATTCATATCATATTTATATGTTGCAGGAGTTTTTGGCTTAGGAGAGGCTGGGAATAAGCAAACCTCCCAACCCGTTCAACCTTCAAGCAGACGATCTTAGTAGTAGGAGTGTACTGGGGCATGGATGTAGAGAGTTAAATGTGGGTATGACGTTAGAAAGCAACCCCAAAACCTCTCCGTTATCTCTGCCTCGCGGGAATCCAAATCACAAACGGCGAGGCGATTTGAAGCTAGGAGTGTGAAAAGCTGGAACCAGATGTCTGTAAAAAGAAAAGGCATTTGAAAGGAACTCTTTCTGGTAGAAGGCAGGCTATGGAAACAAGAGGGGTCCTGGAAGTTTTGAAGTAAGGCACATCTATCTATCTGCAAACCCAGAACCTGCAGTATTTTGCAGATGCAGTAACTTGTAATTTTTTAACACAGTACTAAACTTGACTATGCATAAAGTAGCCTGCTTTAAGGCTGGGAAATAAGTTTCTGTTCCTCAGTTTCCTCAACTCTATTTTGACATTTTGGGGAAAAAAAAAAAAATCCAAATCTATACTGCAAGCTTTATGGAATGGTAACACAGCCCTGTTCGCAAGCATTAACAGCCCCTGCACCACTTTTTTTGGTAAGTCTATTTAAAAAAAAAAAAAAAAAAGAAAGAAAAAAAAAAAAGAGAGACCCTGGAAATAAACTGCAAATAAACCAGCTTTCTACATTAAAGAAGAAATACATCTGAAAAGACCTCCAGAAATGATGAATACATGCACAGACTTCTAGACAGCTGTTTTGGTTGTCTTTTCATTTTGCTTCACTTTTTTTTTTTTTTTTTTTTTTTTTTTTGCTTAGCAGGGTTGGGAGGGGCAAGTCTTTCATAATGCCGTGTCATCATCTTCTCCAAAATCCCCCACCAAAAGTGAATGCTTATCTGGTTCATTAAGAACTATGCTGTTCACAGAACGCTTGTCTGAAAAGAGGGAATTTATAGAGGCTCTACTGTAATTGATGATTCGATCCATTAAGCTCAGTTTAGGAGAGCCTGTCCCAGTCTCATCAATTCCAATGTGAACACTGATTTCTGACGGACTCTTGTGCCTCATTTGGCCACGGGCCCGGAACTCGAGTTTTTCAGAACTTGGTTTCTGGTACCTAAGGGAGGAAAAAAACAAAAGATGACAATACAGCTCAGGTTGAAGTATAGTGAACTAAAATATGGACAGAAACTAGCCTGCATGCTATGATCACGCACAAGCCAGAAACATTTTATAATTTGACCGATTATACAGTGATGGAAGTTTCAGATTTTGCAAGGCTCCTATGCAACCAGAAGCTAATTCAGTGCTTTGCGGCCAGGACTCAGAACAGGTAAAGCTGACACGCATCGCTCGGTATTTAACTGCGTCGGTGGTGCTAAGCATCTGCAAAACATATTGGCAAAATGCATCTACTGAGAGTGGACCGCTGGAGCCATCGTTCACCAACTCTTCTACTCTCCTTCTTCTGAAACCTCATGTGTTCACTGAACAGCAAAAGATACCGTTCCCACCACAGTGCTACACTACTCCTCACCGCAGAGCAAGGAACAGTAATGCGATGACAAACGCAGCAGCTTGGTTCGCTTACTGCAACAATCCTCGGTGTCAGCGTGGTGTTTACAGCTGCACTGTCTCAGAAGCCAGCACGTCCCGACGAGGTTTCTCACAAATATACAAAGGCCACTAAGGAATTTTCCACCCCGAACACACTTCTGATTTGTACATTTCTCTTCACATTAGAAATGACATTTTTAAACACTACTGTCTGAAGCACTTTGGACCAACTGACTCCTCTTCTCAAGCAAGAACAAAACCAATTGCTGCTAGATGCAGACCTGCCTGAACCAAAGAGCTTTGAAATCTGTCATAGTCCCACACTTATTTTCTGCCGTTCAAAGTGAAAGACCTGAGCTTCAAATCCAGATTACAAACCACAAAATTGTTCATACTCACATCTTTAACAGCAAAGAAGAAAGCACAACAGAAACAGAGGAGGCAGCCATTGCTGCAGATCCCATCCACGGCTGCAAAACCAAACCAATGGGCAGGAAGACACCTACAAAAAAAAACCAGCAATAAGTTCAGAGCAGCAACACAGCATTATTCATATATTAACGTATGTAATTTCACATGGACTGTCTAATTTTAGTCGTATTTCAGTATGCTAATAATAGGATTTTAGTTTAGTGTTAAATAACAAATATATTTAATACATAATTATTTGTGTTCTATCTCACCTAGAACCTATGGGTAAATACAGCCAGATGTGTCGCTTATGCAGCCTGAAATTCAGAAGTAGGCATGTCTTGCCTGCCTTGCAGTAAACTGCTGTTCACAGGATCAGGCTCATTCAATAAAGCTTTTATCTTAAAAGTTATTTTGATGTGCTGAGCATATCCATAATAGCCACAATGCAGGAGGAGGACAGCTCACAAATATACCACTGCAACGTCCCCCAGCAGAGAACTCTGTGCTTACTGACAGTCAGAAATAAAGAAAACAGATACCCTTCCACACAATAGTAAATCACCGCAATCTTCTACTCACTAAGCACAATCTTATTACTGCAGGGAAACATTCACATACCAGCAGCTATGGGAACTCCAATCAGATTATAAATTAGAGCAAAGACAAAGTTGATCCGGATCCTTTTCACAGTTTTTCTCGATAAATCTATACTTGCTACCACATCCATCAAGTCATCCTGCAAGTTAATATGTTTATTGGAGAAGTCAGAGAGAGAAAAAACCATACATGTGGTGTGATCATACTCCTATTTTAAAGCTAACTACCATACACTGGATGTAACAGGCTATGTGTAGGAAGTATGCTGTAGGTTGCTCTAGTTTGCCTGCATAGAGCCCATACAATCAGCGCCAACCTTATTCCAGACGTCATCATAACCCAAATAATGTAAACAGCACCACACAGTAGAGCTCTAGACACAGACCACAGTTTCTGTCAAGGTGGTGTTGATATGTAGGAAGAAGTGACTAAAACCTTGGTGGTACAGTGGTATGTTCTGAAAGATAATTTATGTTTGCCAAAGGTCAGGTCACATTTTCCTCCTTTGTTCACTCTCAAACTTTAGTTACCCCCAAATTTGTAGTACCCAGAAAATGGGGAAGTTTCCTTCATAGGAGAATTACCACTACACTAAACAAACATGATGAAGACAAGCTCTTCTCTGCTCCAGTTCTCCTGCCTTATGAAGGTTCTACACCTCAGCAGTGGTCTGAATCATTCAAGACATCCTGGGCCTTCTAACCCCTCTTATCATCTCATTTTAATGAAGCACTCTTATTTCTTACCCTAATTAGAACCACATCAGCTGCCTCAATGGCTACATCAGTACCCGTGCCAATAGCAATTCCCACATTGGCCATAGCAAGAGCTGGGGAGTCATTGATACCATCTCCAACCATGGCCACCCGTCTTCCTTCGTCTTGTAACTGTTTCACTTTGGCTACTTTGTGGGAGGGAAGAACCTCTGCAAACACTTTGGTGATGCCAACCTAAAGAGAGAGAAAGTACAAAACCATCTTGCAGCTTTTCTACTAGTTATCAAAGCTTCTGCCTTTAATAATGTGACTAGGAAGGCTGAAACCCATGTTATCACTCATGAGCTAAAGACCAAACCCATCTGATTTGAAAATAGCTCTGAATTCAAAGTTGATGCTGCTTCCATTCAAAAAGGCTTCTTTTGTTCCCCCCTTACTCTGGATTTGTTTACATCACCATTTTTCACAATAGACCAGTTCTATGCCAGCCACAAGCAATATCAACATGACACAACATGCTTCCTGTAAGTGGGTCGCAGCAAGCTTCAAACCCACGCACACGTGTAACAGCTTACCTGAGAGGCAATAGATCTTGCTGTTTTGCTGTTGTCACCAGTCATTAGGACAACTTCTAATCCCATACTCTTCAAAGTGTGGACTGCCAGCTCAGCTTCTGGTTTCACAGTATCAGCAATAGCTATCAAGCCACAAAGCACTCCTAAAAGAACAGAAAGAGGGTGTTTGTAACAAAGGTCTTTCTTGCTTT